CCCCCCCCCCCACCAGACTCAGTAGCAGCCCCGGCTGGTCCTCTTGTGTCTGCCCGCGAGGCAGGGGCAGGGGGAGCGTCCCGGCAGACTCTGAGGCAGCCCAGAGGGCGGGAACCCCATTCGGTCCCCTTTCCAGAAGAGGAGACAAGGCCAGCATAGGCCAGAGCGTGGACCCGCCTCGGGCGTCTCACTCGGGCCGTGGGCACTCCTCTGACTGCCCTGTCTCCCCAGCAGTCGGGGGGCTGCATTCCCACCCAGAGCTCCAGCTCCCGGGCACACTGTCCACCTCCTCACGTGGCCTTCAGAGTTTGTCAGGCCAGGATGAGACTCCCTGGGGGTGGGCTCGTTACTGCGGCCTCAGTGCTGGTTGAGGCAGCCGAAGCAGGGACCCTCTCCGACCCCGTCACCACCTCTGCGATCTCATGTGGACCCACGCGCTGCTCCATGCACCTCAGCCCATCTGGCTCGTTCCCCACAGAGGACCCTGCAGCCTCCCGTTTCCCAGATGACAGCACTGAGGCCGGGTCAGGTAGCTGGGGCAGGTCATGAGGGTTGTCCTGCTTGAACTCTGTCCTCACCCATGGTGGCCCAGGGAGAGCCGGCGCACTGGTGTGTCCTGCCCGGCGCGGTGTTTCTGGTGAGGGTTGAATGTCCCCTTTGGTCCAGTCTTCTGCCTGGCGACCCGGTTCCCCATCCCACCGTGCCCCGTTCACCTGGGCTCACCACGCCTGCCTGCGGTGAGTCTGGCCAGCCGTGGTCACTCCCGACGCCACGGCCCCCAGCTCCGATCGGGGATGTCAAGGAGGCGGCCGGGCTCAGACTGGATGGAGGGCTCAGTGCTTCACGTGGTCCTGGGAGAGGGCCGATTGCTGTGGCGGGGGGCAGCAGGCCAGGTGTCAGGGCTGCAGCCGTGAGGGCGTGGGGAGAGCGGGCCTGTGGTGACCCCGGTCTCCTGGCCCCTTCTCGGTGCCAGCGCCCGGAGGCCCACATCGGCGCTGGAGCCCATCCGCGCTTCCCCCCTGGAGTCTCATTCTCACACCCGAGAGCCCATCCTTTCTCTGGTCTAGATTCTCGCTCTGAGTCACCCCAAGGGAGAAGTCCCAGGTGCTGCCGAGCGCCATAAAGCTAAATTAAAGGGTTCCCCCGAGGCCTCAAATTCCACTTCACACCGTTAGCTGGAATTATGACTATAATTTTGAAGAGTGTGTCCCCTTCCTCCAGTACAAAATCTAATAAGATACCAAAGGCAGGGTGGCCAAGGACTTGCAAAAGCTGCAAACGAAATATTGCTGTGCAGAGGGGACGGCAGCTGGTGTGTTGCGGGGACCCCATCTGATTGTGTCTGATGTCCTGTGGGGGGGTGTGTGTGCACACTTGTGTGCCCACGTGTCTTTGTGTCCATGTGTGCATTTGTGTTTGTGTGTGTGTGCGTGCATCTGTGTGATGGTGTGTGTGTGTGTGCGTGGACTTGTGTGTCCGTGTGTGTGCACTTGCATGTCCACGTGTGCACGTGTGTCTGGAGATGCACGCATGTGTGTGTGTGCCTGTGTGCTCAGGATCTGCTCGCTCATCAGTGACAGCAGCTACGCGCTGACAGGAGCCCCTTGAGTTGCTGGGGTCCTGCCCCCGAGACTCCCGTGTCATAAAAGGGACCTGCCAGGCACCCTGGTTCCCCGCAGTCGCCAGGATAATGGTGGCATTTGAGCCACACGCAGGCTCTCTGCTTTCCCACCTTGTGCTCAGGCGTGGACACGGCCGTACACGCAGCCACTGTGATGGGGTACCTGCGCTCGGGGTACCACAGCACAGCCCCTGGGCCTTATGGGGGCCCAAGGAGGCAGCTGAACCCTCCATCCCATCTCTGTCTTCACAGCTCAGAGCCCAGCCCTTGCCTGGGACAGACGGGGACCCTTGCAGGGAGGCCACGGCTCCCAGCCTCGGGGTTGCCCAGGTGCCCCCAGAGCGCTTTCTGGTTATCACAGAACCCGGAGGTGGGTTGGGATACTCCCCAGTCATGGAGGGGAGAGCCCCAGCCCCACGCGCACCCCTCTGTCTGCGGATCCTGTCTCAGTGGGTAGCTGCCAACCCGCCAGTTGCCTCCTACCTGCTGTGTGACTTGAGGGAAGTCACTTAACCATTCTGTGCCTCCGTTTTCTCATATGTAAAAGGGGACTACTGGGTTTGGGCCGAGGATGCTGATGAAGGGAGCACCCGCCACGTGCTGAGACCCGTGTAAGTTCCACAGAAGTGTTGGCTGCCTTAGTTTCCTCATTGTAAAGGGCGTCTTGACAGACCCTCTGACCGCTGCAGAGGAGGTCATCCTGGTGAGGGCTGCGGCTTGGGCAAAGTAAGGGGCAGGGGAAGTGGAGGGCGTCAGGTCAGCCAGGTCGAGGGAGTCCCAGCATCCTGAGCATCTGGCGGGGGTTCTCTCTGGCTGCCCACCCACCTCACCCCCTCCTTCCTCTCTCGCTGCCCATGGGGAATTCTGACCACTCAGCGCCCCTCCCTCGGGCAGAGCCCGTAAATGCCCACCTGAGGCCCCAGAAGCCTCAGCCGGGAGTGTGATGGGCACCTCCACGTGGCCAGAACGGGCCTCGGGCCAAACCCTCAGGTGTAGGCTTGACGAGATGGGGCCGAGGCCTCCCCAGCTGCCCAAGCCCCACACACCCATCCCTGGGCTTCTGCCAGCCCTGGCCGAGCAGCTCCCTCCCGGGCCTGGGCTCTGCGCTGTGGGCCAGGGCAGCCTCCCACGTGGAGCCAGCCCTCGATAGCCAGCCAACCTGCGTGCAAAGCGGAAGAGGGAAGAGGGTCCAGAACGGACGGGAGCCCGTCTGCCTGCAGCCCGTCCCCGTGCCCGGCCTCACCTGGAGGCTCTGCACGCGCCTGCCTGCGTCGCCCCCTAGTGGCGCCCACTGGCATGGCTGGTCCCCGTTGCTAAGAACCGGCCTGAGAAGGGGTTTCGCTGGGTGGCCCCATCACCCACCACCGGAGTGTGGAGAGAAGTGCGGGTCCTCCTAGGATCCCTCCCAGCTGCCCTGTTCTCGCCAGGTTGGGAACAGCTCTTGACGTAGTCCCGCAAAGCTCAGGCAGCAGTCTGAGCAGGGCTGCCCTGGCCTCACCGGCACCAGGGGGCGTGCCGGCCACCCTCCCATCAAAGGATTGGTTCCAGGGAGGCTGGCTGGCTGTGTGTCCTGCGCGCCCACCTCCCCCGTGGGCAGGGGCTGAGCTGGAGGCTCCCAAAGTCTGTCTCTCAACCACGTTGCTTTCGTTTCCCTGAACTCGGCTCTACGGGCGGAGCGGGGGTCCCCGAAGGGTCTGGGTCAGTGGGAATCCACCCCGCCCTGCACACCCCTTCCAGGGGATATGCCCCCATCTGGGAAGACTCGGGGGGTGACAGGGCGCTGTGGGGTCCCCCTGGCTCGCGCCTGTCCACCTCCGCGCACGCTCGTCCCGCCTCTTGGGGACACAGGGACCAGGATGCCAGAGCTGTGCTCCCTGGCGGCACAGGGACCTGGTTTCCTCGGTGAGAGCTGCTCTGCTGCTCCCCGCCACGTGCCCGTCCTGACCCAGAAGGCGGGAGGGCGTCAGCAGACAGGGCAGGGGTGGAGTCGGGCTGTCCCCCGCCACCCTGCCCGCTGCCCGAGCCCGGGTGCTAACGGCATGTCACCCGGACGTCAGGAGTAGGGGGTCCGTGAGGAGCTGGCCACCTGGCGGGTAGGCGGGGCCAGGTGAAGGGGGCGCCCCGGGGCAGCAGGTGCATCCGGCCTGCTGAGGAATCGGGTCCGGGCACCACACGGGCTGCCCTTGCCTGCCACTTTCTGTCCTTCCG